TAACAGAATCAATGTTAAGAACTTGATACGAATAATAATGCACGGATAGCAAACATAGCACTGCAATCATCCAAAGAAGATACGAATCCTTCGAGTGACTTCAGAGCATCCTAAAAACATTTATTTGTAAAAATATTACTGGGATGAGGCATCATCAATGTAAAAAGATAGTCTTCCAACCAGCGGGCTTACATTCAACGGAAGTTTCGGACAATCTCTATCCCTTTCTTCAACTTTGGCCAGGCACTGACCAAAGTTGGTCAGGCACCGATATTCATGAAATCAGACTTAGGCACGCACTAAGGAAACCATAAAATGTCACATGCAATCAACATACATGGAATATGGAACATGGAACATGGAATGTCTTCTTTTTACACTCAAAACGTTTAGCGGGTATAAGTATGTTAAACCTAATGGAAAAAGACGATTCCCGAACGGCAATAAAAGCAAAAGCAACAAAAGTGTGAAGGAATTACCTGGTCAGTTTGTGAGCGTGACAGCGGGTGGAAAAGGCAACGCATTCGATGTCGGCTGTCAGCCTAACATGTGTGATGACAGAGGTCACAAACATGAAAGGCATAGCTTGTGTATGCGACGATATACACTTTTTCTTTACCCACCGTCCAGTTTCAGCCATGGCTGCATTCACAAGCCGATAGGTTTTTGAAAGGTCTTGAGCTTCATTACCATCATTTTCTTGAGCTACATAATCATTTTCTTTTTACATCCATTGTGAGGAGCATATGGGCACTGTAGAAAACATCATCTCTAGGAATTCTTAAAACTCTTAAGTTGACCAACTTACCTTGCGCTTTCCTTCTATAACTACCTACCTACCTGCTTTTAGGCGGGTAAGCATGCTTATGTGTATGTATGTATGCATGTATGTATGGCTGGATGGATGGATGGACGAACGGTGGATGTATATATGTATTCACGTATATATGAATGCATGTATGTATGTGTGTATTCATCCATCCATGTGGAAATAAATGTTCACAAACATGCGCACATGGTCTGACCGACCATGTGTGTATGTGTGCATATGTGCACGCATGTATGTGCTTAAGCACATATACATGCGTCTATGCACCCGTATATGAATGTTTTATTGCCAATTTCATCCATGCAACATGACTTTTCGATACTGACGTCAGACACTGAACGTCAAGCATACGGCGGTGGTACACATAAGACCGCAGGGCATCACTAATACTTGCGCCGCGCGGCGTTTTAGTAACTAAAACAGTGACGTCATAAAAGCAGTACCAGGTGTACTCGGGTTTTGTGACTCCGTTATGCGAATATAATACAAATATTACAGCGTTATCACAAAACTAATGGTAAAAAACAAAAGAGCATGTGGAGCAGGACACTGAGCAACAGTTTTCCATGCGCCTAACTCTGACACGAAAATGTAAAAATCCAACTTCCTGATCAGAGAAAATGTAAAGGTGGGAAAATGTAAATAAATCTGGCTTGGAATTCGGTCCTGGCTTAAGCGTTCCGGGGTCGTCACTTCACGAAAGCAATATTGTTTGAAGGAAGAGAAAACGGGCATTTGTGAACGTATGCACCGGTTTGTACAGCCGTGTACGCACACACGTGCGCGTACCATGGATCTGCCGATTTTAGGACACTTTTGAGGAGTGCTTGTCGGGTGTTTTTAAGTTGCGTTAGATCTTGGTACCCAAAAAGATAGCTAATTGGAATAAGCTGTATGGTGTAAATGAATGCCCGACATACAAATCGCTAAGTGAGTTCAACACTGCCCAGCCCATAGCGATGGGCAATCTATCGAGAGGCGACTTATGTCAGCTGTTCAAGACCAGGTCATGTCACTCGCTGTGACCAAGCTTATGAACAGTAACCACAAGAACTCGTGTCCCAGCTCCTTGTGACCTACAATGATAAGAACCGGATGTTTCGCAAGCGGTGCCGGAGGAGGGCTGTGACTACCGTGAGGTAATTTTGTTGCCCACTTTGACAAAAAGTGGTGTTGCCGGGTTACATTTGCATGCGACCGATGCATCGGACCGACAGCGGCTGAGAGGTAATTAACTGAGTCGTGTCGATGTTTTCACCACGGGGCTTATTGGAATTCGCTACTGGTCAGGACATCCTCAAGTTCTGGTACATGTACAAATAATTTTCCTTACCAGTATCGCTGACGAACACATCCGCCTGCACGCCTTCTTTGCGCGTGGTACAACGCGCTGTGTCAGATGTCCCCTGTGAGCATCAAATGTGAGTCCGATGTCACCACTGAAAGCAGCACCGATAAGAACCTGGATGTGGTGGCGGACAAACACCTTAAGCTCGAGCCACATATTGACAACATTGTTGTTAGGTCAACAGGCGTCTTCATGGCTTGTCCCATGCAAAGCATGTAGTTCTAAAGGGTATTCTGGCTGGATTTTTTAGTGCGCCATTTATACCGCTCAATCAGATAGTGTGTCTCATTGTATGGTGCTCATGGATCTACTCAGCCATGTCGTATACACAAACTCATAAATTTGCGTACACGGGTGGAAAGCGGAAGGGGAAGGAATAGCCATATATCCCATGTTGTCAAAGATATTCGATGGCTCAGTGCGTATCAGCTGGTCAAGTAACACAAGCTATGTGTAATTAGAGGAACACCGAACACGGCCAACCCCCGGACATAGCCATAGTAGGCAATATTACACCCTCAAGCGTCAGCTGATGCAGTTGCCACTGCGCTGGCTGTTATGTGCCGCCATGCGCTTGCTCGGGAGCACACGTGGGTAGCGCCATCTACATATACTTCGATGTCGAACGGCGATTGATAGATGGTTCTGACTGCGGCGTTCAGCGACAATGGCGGATGGTTGTGCGTCTCCCCTTAATTCGTGCTGGGATGTTCCCGCTAAATGCTTTTTATCTCCTTGCATCGAAGGTAGTGGCAACATTTAGGCCAGCCACCTCATTCAACCGTGCAATGCATCTCAGTTTATTTCAGTTTCGTTCCACTATGATCAGTAAGCGTGGATGTCCGTTCTGGTTTTGTGCTCCCTTGCTCTACTGTCGTGCCATGAACGCGACCGAAGGAACAAGACACATTTGCTTGAGTTATACAGGTGCTTAGCTGAAGTTTTTGCCGGTGCTGATAACCTATAGCAATCATCCATAAAGCCAAAGAGGATGATGATGGAGACCGCAGGCGGTATGAAGGAGGGATGAGTATGGTGGAGCTCAGTAGTGTAAGTATGGTGGAGGTCAGTAGTGTTGGAGCATAGCTGACCGTTGGGGCTTCAGAGCTGCTTGTGCGACTCAGTTTGTACCCTTACGCATCATTCTGGGCACAATCCCGGTAATTTCGATATTTGATTTCGCATGATTTGAACACGTGTTGTAGACATTTTATATATTTAGCTATTTACCTACGACCGCTTTCTGAGTTTATAACGCGAGATTTATGGAAAACGTTGGGGAGGTACAGCCATTTGAGATCAGGCTCGTCCCATGCAAAAAAGCCAATGTGAATACGCCTCAAAAAATCTTCAAAATGGCTGACTTTGTAAGGAATTCCGTTTGGTCCCAATAGCCTGATTTGATGTTCAGAGTCGGATCGACACATCTTGGATGCAGTTCAACGAGAGCTATCAAACGACGTTTTCTTCATCGCAGTACCATGCTTGGTGAATGAGATAGTGCATGTGCACTGTTCACACCAGGTGAGACCTTGAACACTTTATCTAACCTGATGGAGATACGTCTTCCGATAGCTAATGCTGAAGATATCAAGCAATGCTCTAAAAGCAAGCAGCGCCATTTCCTCGAGTGCATTGGGAAAACGGTAGTATTCTTTATAGCATGCAGGATATTGCAGTACCTTAGCGCATATGGTTCTTTAGATTAGAAGATAGGCATATATTTTAGAACTTGCACTTCAAGGAAGCGGTTTGGCTTGTGAGTTGTCACCTACAGCGACCATCAGTAACTAGCCCATGCCGTTTCATTGGTATGTGTAAGATGACGCTTTGCGGCGTTTCTGCCCTGCTTAGTTCCCGTGGTCGCGTGTGACCTGCGTAGTTGCCCCGACCGGCGAAGACAAGTAATACCAGGCCGGGGATGGCTGGGAAGGCGATGTCGGAAAGCTTCACACCAGAAAATATTTTTCATTTTAACCCAGTGCCAGCACCAATAATAAATGTATCATAATACCGAGGAAATAACTTAGCCTCATCCACCACCTGGAATTCTCTCGACGCTGGTAATGTTTTCGGGTGTTTCGAATGCTTATTTTGTTCATCCGTAATTCTTGATGTACTAGTCTTCCGTACCGAATATCGAGGTGTCCCGAACTGAATCTGCGCCACGCAGCTCAAATTGGTACCAATAATGTAGATGAAATTTTAAGCTTCATTTACATTTTGAAGTTTTTAACGTAAGCGATGTTGTTGGATATATTTTTTAAGTTGTGACTTTATTTTCGTTAAATGTAAAATGAAGCACTCGCCTTACGAATGGTGCTGTTGAATGTGTGATTTGGCCTAAGTATGACTGACGGTCTTAGAAGAATCTATGCCGCTGTGATGTGTTCGTAAGCATTGTCCTCTAACTAGAAACTACATTGTGATCTACGTCAAAATTGGCTCCAGTTTCACGTGCCAACGCACCACTGTGACCGCGATCGGCACAGCAGTGCTCGTGCTTCCGTAGCACGTGTCTGCGTCCGGAGGCTGTCGCTGACACGGGGGCAGGACACAGCGTGCTGAAGTCCGCAATAGATTTAATGTATTAAAGTAATGACACTTTCCGTGTTTTGCCGAGTTACCCAACGTTTACTACGGCGTCTATTACGGCCGTTTTGCTACGGGCGTGTGGAATGCGTCCTTCGACTGCGGCTGCCCGTCATGTGTTTGCTATGGTGACCCACTGACGTATCTGGCCGGTGCAGTGTCTGACCGTCGCGGGGGCGTCGGAGTGTCTGCTCCTCGCAGCTGGCGTGCTGACGTGTCCGTATCCTGCAGCTGCAGACGGCGGTGGGGGAGATGAAGACGTCCTTCGCCTCAGCCATGCGGTGGCTGACGGAGTCTTCGCACGCAGCGGCCGGTCCAGATACCTTCGGGCCTGCTGGAGTTGGCTGCCCTGATGATGATGACGTCATCCACACCATCCGAGGACTGCAGGTAGCTGTGACCCAGGCGCCAGGCATCCGGCACCCATACCCAGCTGCAACCGTTCATTTATTCCAGCTATGAGAGAACTACCGGCCGAGAGCTTAGGGCGTTGATGTCCCGCCTCAGTCTGCTCACCGCGCGGTGTGTTGGTTATGTAGTTCTCTATTTATTATGTTTATCTCTATTTGTTATATAGCACCATATATTATTATGTGTTTATATTAGGCCTTTTGATTCGTGTATATATTTATGGTGGTGACTTTAACACTTAATGTCATCCTGAGTAGAATGACAATCCCCAATAAGCCACATCAACGTCCGCGTTCTCTTCCACATCCTCACGGCATACTGCGTACCACGCTTTGGCGATACGACATATGCCGCTTGCTCTGGCGTTGAAGCGCAGCTGACGTTAGCTGCCCTGCCGCAGACGGAGCTAGCCGAAGTGACGGCAGCGGTGCAGCAGCTGCAGCAGGGCCAGCAGGCGACCCGGCGGCAGCTGCGGCTGCTGCTGGACGAGCGGGACGTGCTGCTGGACGAGCTGTGCAGGACGGATAGCGTCTCTGGCCAGACGAGGTTCGTGCAGCCCCGCGGGTGTAATCACGCTTGCACGTCCTGCACTGGGGTGCCCTCGGTCATGCTGTAGTCTCACTTAGCTGTCTTCAGTCGCTCTCGGACACTTTCCCTGACATAGCATCGTTATCGCCAATGACGTTGCATTGTTTGCACATTGATGATCACGCTCGACCTTGACTCTACCATACTGCCTAACTGCAAAAGAAGGTCCCAGTTAGCAATACATAATTTCACTTCTGGCGGTAAATATCTTACCACTTGGAATATATAAGTTATGTGAAAAAGTATATGGTCGGGGACCGCGGTACAAAAGCTAGAGAGACCATAAGTTCACGCTACAATCCTCAAAAAACACGTTCAGAAAATATGTGCAGCATCGAAAACGGTTTTTTACCTCATACATTCGCCCGCGGGTGTGAAATTATATTCACGGAACATTGAATTGGCATGCAACCATTTGTTTTCAAAATGAGGAGCATAGTAAATAACAGTACTCTGCAGTCACTGTAGGCCACGGCGCGCGCGTACCGGCTTCGGTTTCCGAGGGTGACAGGTGAACAAACGGTCGCAGACCCATGGAACCCAGAAAATCTGCACTTACTGTAGGCCACGGCCCTCGCGTACCGGCTTCGGTTTCCGAGGGCGACAAATGAACAAACAGTCGCAGACCCACGGAACCCAGAAAACCTGCACTTACTGAAGGCCACGGCCCTCGCGTACCGGCTTCGGTTTCCGAGGGTGACAAACGAACAAACAGTCGCAGGCCCATGGAACCCAGAAAATATGCACTTGCTGAAGGCCACGGCCCTCGCGTACCGGCTTCGGTTTCCGAGGGTGACAAGTGAACAAACAGTCGCAGACCCATGAAACCCAGAAAATCTGCACTTACTGAAGGCCACGGCCCTCGCGTGCCGGCTTCGGTTTCCGAGGGTGACAAGTGAACAAACAGTCGCAGACCCATGGAACCCAGGATAACTTTGTGCGGGTTATCTCATATGCTATGCACAGAAGTTGTGTATATGTTGCACTAGGTCACTGGTCTGTGACACGACAGAAAGACACGTCAAAAAATGTTGAACAGGCTGCCATTGCTAGGGATACTTACCGACCAGCACCAAACTCGTGCCGTCATGTAATTTCATGCCTTGCAACAGTTCTGCGGTCTTGAAATCACAAGATAGGTAAAGGTCAACAAGATCGTGTTATGCCAACCAAACCAAACCAAAATGTTCTGCTTCGGGCATTTGTGTGTCAGTTGCATGCACGGGGGCTGTCCGACTTATAAAGTACACAAAACGCGTCAAGGAGTCTTCTAAGGTGAGTCGCACTCCAAGTTCGATAATTTCGTATCAACATCACACCCGCCTAAGGTTCATAGCCATGATCTTATTGGTGCGCTGTTGCTACTCGTGCATTTCGATTTTGAAGCTTTTTAAATGTCCTTCGTGGACTTAAACTGGACTTAACAAATAATATTGCATTCCAGACAACAGCTTTACCGTGCCGGCCTACAGTTTCCGTCCCGAACATCTAGTGGTTGCCATAGCAACGACTCGGGTCTGGGCCCGGCGCCCGAAAAGGTGCGGTGGTCGGACCAAGACAGCACATCGGTCTCAGACGAGCCCTTCGTCTCAACCATCGTGCAGCAATATGTCAACGGCCTTGAAAACGGTGGGCAGTGGTTTCTGAGGAGATGCGAATTAAGCCGGGAAGCGAGGTTTTGGAAATCCTGGCTATGATATATATATATATATATATATATATATATATATATATATATATATATATATATATATATATATATATATATATATATGTGTGTGTGTATATATATATATATATATATATATATATATATATATATATGCCTATACATTCATTGATTTATATAAATATAAATATATCCAAACATTTTATATTTCATTGTATTATATATTCACTGAAAACCCTGTTGCTGTCACATGGAAGTTACGTGTGTTGCATAGAAGACAATACCTTTCTTAGCAGTTCTAAGGTCCCAATTTTGCGGGATTTTTTAAAGTACCATTGCACAGTATCAACTACTATATGCGTGTTCTACATGACATCAAATAAAAATGAATATTGTGTGTATGTTGGAACGGCTGCATGACATGCGACCTGTACGTACATGAGTGTTCAACGGGCACCTGGGTGTCCGGGTGTCTGGAGTGGTCGACATCTGATGACGGTGTTTTCTTTTACGTCCACCAGGTGGCGACAGCTACGAGTCGGATTCCTCGCTTACAATGACCATCGACAAATCGCTCGCGTTTAGCAGCTGCTTATCCAAGCAGTGTGACCTGGAACTTGACGAGCTCAACGAAACAGATGGACAGGTACACCCTTTTCGCGATACTTGCGGGTTAAAATGGCATGGGGTGCACTCTTCTATTAAAAATCAAGTGCATTTTCGTCTTGTTTTCCATACATTCCTAGTTGTTCTACGACAGGCCGTTCTCCGTATGTCATATGTGCAACGTGTCACTCGCTCTCCGTATTTCCTGCTTTTTTCGGAGTTCTGAGTTATCTATATACGTTGCGGTATCGTGTTTGCTTGTGATACAGTTTTGGTGCAAAAAAACATTCGTGTGTATGATCACGTAAACATGCATAAAGCATTCAAACAAACCATGAAGAGGTGGCGCCATTCAAAAGCCCTCCCATACCCCACCTTGATGATCTCCTCCCGGGTCAGACCTCGACAGTCTGTGAGGTGAGATCTTCCGCTGACCCCGTGCCGGCAGCCCCGATCGGAGGCCGGCCAGAGCGAGCTGGAGGAGGCCGAACGGCTGGGCGTGGTGCGCGAGCTGGCCGAGACGGAGCGCCGCTACTGCGCCACCCTCTGGACCGTGCAGGACACGTTCGCCGAGCCCCTAGCTGCCTCCAGCCTCCTCAGCGAGGAGGAGTTCGGGTGAGGCCCGGCCGCGCTTGTCGCGTGTTTTGTCCGTGCGTCGTACGGGCGTGATGTGTGAGGAATGACGCTGAATCAGGACGTTTGTCCTGCCCACGTCTGTCTGTTCTTGTCTTGTCAGATATTTGTACGCCCGCTGGCATTGATGTCGATATTTCCGTGTTGTACTGCTTGCGATGTCAAACAGCGATTCTAGATTTATTTTATGCTTCGCAACTTACTATCGGGCGTCAGACTAGCCCATGTGATCACCTCAGGCGTCAAGATTAGACCATGCCACCACCTCAGGCATCAAACCGGGCTACATCAGACGTCAGACTTAACCACGTCACCGCCCCCCGTCGTCACACTCGACCACATGATCACATCATGCATCCGACGTGATCGTGGTACCTCGGGTGGCACGTGCTGTCTCGTTTTCAGCATCCTCTTCCCAGCGGAGGCTGGCCAGCTGTACGAGAAGCACTGTCGTCTGCTTCACTCGCTGGAGGAGCGCCTGCAGACCTGGCCGTGGCTCCCCAGTGTCGGGGACTTGCTCTGCAGGTGGGGGCGTGACGTCACCTGTAGGCAGTCTAGTCGGGAAGACCAGCGGTGGTCTATGCCGTAGTGATCACCTATAGGCTTTCCCCTGAATCGGGTGATATGTACGTCACTTACACTTATGTACGTCTTTTTGTCCGCTCGCGTTGCTGTAGAATTATCTCATTGAATGCAATGATGTTCTGCATTGTTGCATGCAGAATGTTGCGAGTAGTGTTCTGCATTATAGTTCTCGTATTGAACCGGTTATGCGTGGAAAAAACCGCATAGGCACAACATGTGCATAGGCATAGGCATGTGCATGGTTACTGCATTGCACCAGCACCGCTGACGCTGTGGAGCGTTGGACCCGCATGGCAGTGTGGCAAAGCCGGGATTTAAAAGAATATTGCCAAGACCATATCCGTGTGAGACACCAGGCGATATGTGATCTCAGTGTTTCTACCACAAAGATCACATTTCAGATTTATTTCTGGAGAAGATTCCGAAGTGCTGCACATGTACACCACCTACGTCGCTGGTTTTCCAGAACTTCTCAACACCTTCTACAGACTGTGCCCGCACATCGAGCCAATTTGCAGAATTCCTCAAGGTTTGTTCGCCGCCGTTTTCCGCCTGCTGACCATTGCTTTAAATCACCGGCTTAACGGAAGCGCGCAAATACAATGTCAGATATCAGCATAATGAAGGTGGCAGTTTAAATGTTTGCACAAGTGCAGGGTATGCAGCGGAAACTGGGTCTTTTTCCACGCAAATACAAATTAACCAAAAGAGCGACACAACCACAGACTAAGAATCCAATACTCTGCTAGACCGTGAATTGCCTTGATTGTCTACAGCCCTATGATTACCTTTCGCCCTCTTTTTCGCTGCATTGCATCGGAGTTTGCGTAACCATTTATTAGCATAAAGACAACCGTCGAAAATGCCCAGCGACCCTGGTGCCCGCAGAGCCGGCAGCAAACACCCGAACTGTCACGGTCTGGACCTGGCGGCGCTGCTGCTCTCGCCGGTGCAGCGGGTGCCGCGCTACCTGCTGCTGCTGCAGCAGCTGCTGCGACGCACGCCGCCGGAGCACGCCGACCACGGACCGCTGCAGGCGGCGCTGCAAGGCGCTGCGGGAGTTCCTGGCGCGGCTGGACCAACTCCATGGAGAACTCGCTTCGCCTGGTCAAGCCCCCGCGCGGCCGCCGCCAGGGAGCGCGACAATAGGTCCTGCTAACAAGAGATCTGCTGTCACCTGCTAGCTGTCAGCTTCTTAATATTTGGTTTACTGAAAAGTTGAATGTCAAGGAAAGTGTTTAAGGGACTGTTGGTAATGTTGGGAACGCAAATAGCATGTTTGGTGGGGCTGATAGGATATGAGTTTACGGCGATGGTAGAGGGGGCTAGTTGGGTCAGTTTAGTAACTGATGTGGCTTCGTTTGAGAACTGAAAGTGCTAAGCCAGAAACAATGTGTAATGGGTGGTCAACCAAGTCGGTGATGAACCGCGCTTTGAAAAGCGGGCGTCCCTTTGCGGCATAAGAGTCTCGCGATATATGCAATGGTTCATTGACGACTGTTCTGGCTCTGTGTGCATGGGCTATTGCAATGATTTATTTGGGCTGTAGAAGTACTCAGCTCAGGAAAATATCATCTTAAATAGAAGCAGTCACCAGGGAACAGAGGCTGGCGCACAGCCCTGCCGTACCGGGCTCCTCTCCTGCGCAGGGTCTCCAAGCCGGCGCGTCGGGGCCGCGGCGACCGGCACCTGGCTCGCCCCCTACACGGACGGCTCGTCCAGTCAGCCGGCCACGCTGCCGCGGCGGGCTGAGACGCGGGTCGAGGCTCCGCCGCCGGCGGTGAGGGCCGGGCCGGGCTCGGCGACGGCGGCGGCGGCGGCGGGGCGGCGCCGGACGGTGGTGGCACATCATCACGACCCGCCGCCGAACGCAAGGTGGGGTGGTACGGGGAGACGGCGTCGGCGCTGGGACTCTCCGCGAACGGCGGGGGTTCGGGTGAGAGCTGTGATTGGGGCATGCGGAGGGAGGCTGGAGTTTTGTGTTTTGTGTTTTATGTTTGGGGTTTTTCTTTGTTTTCTGTAGCGGTGATTAGTTCCATTGAAGACAGTATGGGTGGGGGGGGGAGAGGATTTTTAACATACGTGGGGGTGGGGGGGGGGGGGGGGGTGCGGGGGTTGGCAGATACCTGCATTCTTGAACTGTTCCGCACCGTTCACTCGACCTGCAACGTCGCTCTTAATAAACCGCATATATCGGCCCCTGGGGCTGCTCACCTCCGCATTGTGAACACTTCAGACTAATAGTAATTTATGGACTGCTGTCAGGCCCATAACCAGACTGTGAATTCGGCGACAATACTGCTGCTGTCCGTGGACCACTCCTGACACCCGCCCGTTGCCGCAGCAACCACTGGACTGCCGGTCTCTGCCGCACATAAAGCAGCAGCGGCGGCGGCGGCACCTGTCTGCGGCCCGCTCCGAGACTAACCTGCAGCCGCCGGCACGACCAGCCTCGCTCGCCATACCCAGCCAGCCGCGCCCGGCGCGGTCCGAGCTCGACCTGCAGGCAGAGACATCTAGCAGCGCACTGCAGAGACTCGACTTCGGGAAGGTGGCACCGAAGGAGCCGCGCCCGCGCCCGGTGACGGCTAGGAAGGTACGACACTGGATCTGGAACGGAGACAGTACTGGTGACGTCCGAGCTGGGCACTTCGTTTTGAGTAAAGGGGAAAATGTAGGGCTGAGTTAGACAGCGAAACTGCGCTGCATACCGGTGGGAGCGTACTCTCGGTTGTTTTACGAACTGCGACATTGATATCGGCACTCACAACACCCAGCAATAAAGGCGGTCACCGCACAAGCTCCCGAGAAACACTGAAGTGCGTATTTGTGTCACTCCCTTGGGTCCTATGTCTCGTTGGTATTCGGAAACAGTTACCTCCACGCCTTGAGGGAGGTGCACGACGAGCTGGTCTCATTCTGACGCTGATGGCCTCGTAATCAACAACCCTTCCATGTTTGCTCTCATGTGACAATCCTGACCCCATCAGCCGGTCGAAACACGACGCCGCACCACCGCTGCCCCACCGTAACTAGCCCGTGCGTGTGTATCGAGGCTAGCGTCTCCGCCCGAGCGTGAACACGCTCCGATGCGGCCGCCCCTGCCGTGCCGCAGGTGAGCGGCAGCCAGGACGCTGCCGCGCGGTCCGCACGATGGTGGTGAGTCCGCAGGGCCGCTGCGTCACCCCCGAGCCGCCCCCGCCGGGCGACGGGCCGCCGGCGGCCTCCACCCAGCGCAAGGTCTCGCTGCGCACCATCCGAAAACATGTTCACCCTCAGGAGGAGGTGAGGTCGCGCGGGTCGGCCGCTTTTGCGTTTCCGGTGGAGGTAGGGGTCGTGACACTTCAATTGGTGTTGGTATGGTGTGCAAGATAAAGATGGGGCAAACGAGAACTGGATTCACTGATGAACTCCGATTTAGTCTCGGCAGTGTGTGACTCTCCGACAAATACTGTGGTAAGGTTGGGCAATCAGGACTGTAGAAAACGGCGCCCTGCGTCTACTGCGTGAGAATCGAAATGCGCAACAAAGTAACTGCGCATTAAACTGCGTAGCCACTGAAACAAGCGCAGTGGTAATAATCAACCGCAGAAAGTCCCAGACTCGGTATCACACCCCCGAATGTTTTTTGGCAGGGCACTGCCGGTCCGGTACACTGAACATCAGCACCGCCCTCGAGGGAGCAGGGTCTGTCCTGCGGCGATCAGTACATCCGATCCGTGACGTCATCACCACCACCGGCGAACAGGAGCGGTCGGTACACCCTGATCTGTGACGTCACCTCGAGCGGACAGGAACGGCTGGTACATCCTGATCTGTGATGTCGCTTCCAGCGAGCAGGAGCGGCAAGTACACCCTGATCCGGGATGTCACCTCGAGCGGACAGGGGCGGCCGGTACACCCTGATCCGTGACGTCGCCACGAGCGGACGGGGGCGGCCGGTACACCCTGATCCGGGACGTCACTGCCAGTGAGCAGGGATGAAATGGAAGCCCCACCCCATGGCAGCCCGTGCCCGTCCGCATGCCCGTGCCGGTGCTACTCCGCTGTGTTGGCCGACGTCAGCGGGTCAGCGTCGTGCAGAGCTCGCTGATATCAGCGCATCGGCGTCGTGCAGAGCTGGCTGATGTCAGCGGGTCGACGATATGTAGGGCTGGCCGGCGTCAGCTGGTCAGACAGCTCGCGGAACCCGAACCCACACATGGCCAGCAGGTCAGCATTCTGCAGAGCTGATAGCTCGCGGAATCTACACATCGCCGGCGATGTGCTCCTGGCTGCTGAAGAGGCGATCGAGACAAAGCAAGGAGGCGGAGGAGACGGCTCCTGGTTTGGCCAGCCGTCTCCGGGAGACGGCTGGTCTCCGTCGAATGAACTCGAGTGTGCCCTCTCCGAGCTTCAGGGCGAGCCTGGAGACGCTGCTGCTGGGCCGTCGGGAGACCGGGAGCGGGAGCTGAGAGCCCCGGACCCGGCTCTTCACCGGCGTCCCATTAGGTCGATGCCGCATGAGACTGGCGGGTGGTGGGTTAACGAGAGATTACGGGTGCTGTGCGCCGGAAGGCGTGTGGACTGGGTGGGGGCCCAGAATGGGGCAGGCGTGTAATGGTATGCCTCTTCCACCAGTACGTGCTGTCAGCGGTCTTGGCAAATGCAAGGCTGGGCTTGGTTTTGGTTGTATGTGTGGTGTGCTTGATTGCAACGTTTTCAGATAGTTGCTATTGTATTTTTTGTCCCTCAGACATAAGACTGCAGGCTCAGGCTAAGACGTAAAAACACGATGAAAGTGGTGATTACACCCATCGCCTTTGTTTTGTGGATGGGTTCTTGTTTTTGATTCCGGTTAAGATTGTCTTTGACATAGATTTGTGCTCGGGGGGGGGGGGGGGGGTAAGCGATAATGCTTGCTCTGAAGAAATGAGAAGCTGGCATGCAGCCGACAATTTGAACGATTACTCTGCTGTCGGATAGTGTGGCGCAACACTTTTGTGTCGTTTTTATGTGCGCTTTTTGATAGGTTTTATTGTTTTTTTTAATGAATTATAGACCAGCTACATAAGACAAAGGGGCTGATTGTAGGATACTCGAACTTATTGGTGCCACAATGCACGTCATTTTGCAGCTCGAAAGTGTTATCAAATGACGAGGATGGCGATTGGTGTTCAACATAAGAATATACTGGCTTATTACATGAAAGAATCTGAAGGACCTCCAGCGCTGTGGTCGGGAAGTACAGTCATGAGACTGCTTGACAGACAGCAACGTTTCATCGCACCACGCCATGTAGTTGTAAGAAGGGGCAGGTGGGCAGAGCGCTTGGGGATTACAGCCCCTTGCTTTCCATGCCGCGCGACAGAAACTCTGTATTTGGTCGCGTTGACAGAAACCAGCCCGAAAAGAAAGCTGGCGTACCTACCATGTCCCCACGGCGACGCTGCGTACACATATATGACCAGTAGCTGTGTCACCGTCTTCGCCCCAGCAAGGCTGTCTCTTACCTCAGCTCACTACAAAGTACGTTTAGGTAACGCACATCTTAGCTGTCAGGACAGCGGCGATTGCAATTGAACCCTTCAGCTTATCTACATGCTTCAGTTCCAAACCAGGCACGGCAGTTTTGTTGATATTATGTATGGAGAAATTTTCAGTGTCATCTTCGGCAGAAATGCAACGAACATCATCTTAGGGTGAAGCCTGTCAGTAACGTAGAGCAACGTCATTAGGTTATCAGATGCCATCAAAAGCGAACGAACTATAACTCTGACACGGTAAATACGTGATGCTGACACTTGAGGTCACATATACACCTGTGGGACAGTCCTTCAGCGACACTCATCATCCGCATAATGTGAACATGTTGGGCTCCCTGAAGATACTGTTCACTCGGTCATATAGTGCGGCAGCATCCCGCACTTGACACGCTGGCGCGGGCGTCTCGCCGCTTTCTGCTAAACGCACGTTGCATTTGTCACGATGGGTTGTCAGTCGCTCTAACGCAGTGCAGCTAGTTTGCGACACTGCCCAGGACCCACGTCTCTGCCGAGTTCTGCAACTGCGGGGTGTTAGCCGAACCTGCGCCGCGCCAGGAGCAGCATCGAGGTAGCTCGTGTCCCGGACGTACAGCGCAACAGTGTGCCGCGCAGACGTCACCCGTTACCAAACCGCCGCACAGCCAGGCTGGGCCCGAGAGCGAGCACGCCGCCGATGGGACACTATGCCACGCAGACGTCCATCCGTTACCAATCGCCGCACAGCCAGGCTGGGCCCCGAGAGCGAGCACCGCCGCCGATGGGGCACTATGCCACGCAGACGTCATCCGTTACCAATCGCCGCACAGCCAGGCTAGGTCCGAGCGCGAGCACGACGCCGATGGGCCATGGAGACAGCAGATGCAGCGCCGACTCAGCTGTACAACTAGCCTACATGTCATAAACTACAGCAGCAGGGAGATGTGAGGTCCGGATCGATCCCGGTTCGTACCGGCGAAGCCCCGCTGAGGGATTTCTAAAGCCTGGAGCGGGGTCCATACGTTGTACGGAGGCTGCCCTGTTTTTTGTTATTCGTGACGTGACGTCGCCAGAGCGCCGAGTTCAGAGGAAATACCGTGTGTGGTCGTCAAGCGATGTGTCGCTCCGTCTAGCCTTGCGTACAAAAGGTGCAAACAGTATGGCGGAAATCGCGTTGTCCAAACAAAATAGCTTAAAATTGACTACTTACAAAATGTTCGTAATTTGAAGCGTTAGCGCACAGGCGCACTGAAGATGGTCTCGAAAATTAGTGTTTCCAAAACCACACTACGTTATAAGGCGATGGCCCAGGTTGCAGCAAGAATTATTGAAGTCAGGGTATTACTTTTTCAGTTGGTTGGGGTGCTCAGCCGACAGCGATAGTGATCTGCCCACAAAGCCTTATGTTTTTGCTCATTTCAACCATTTCAAGTTTGTGTCCCGATGTCTTCAGTTCAAAGTTGTCATGTTGTTGCGGTGGAAGCAACATATTCCATTTTAACAATTGCATTTTAACCACTGCATTTCAATCGCACTGGGCATCCGCATGCCCATTACAAATTGATGTGAAGCAGCGAGCTGCAGATGTGAAGTGTGAGTAGCTTAGAGCAGGATGTAACCCACGACAAAATATGAAAGAAAAAAACGGCCTGATCTGACCGAATCGAAATCAGTCTCGCTTATCGTTGATCAATGCGTTCCGAGGCGTCAAAAAGACGGCTTTATTGAAAGATATTAGGGACACACCCTGTTACGTCCGGGAGATGAAAAACGTCTGTTATTGGAGGGGAATTATGTGGGATAGCTGTATTTAATATTATCATCGAATACCTGATCCGATGTGTCTGGTTGGTGTTCGTATTTGTGTTTGGGAAATGGGGGCAACGTTCCGTCGCAATTGTCCGGCGCCGCGAGTATGTTATTGGGAGCCAAACCATTCATGGTATCTAAAAAAAATATCATGCCTCCAAGCCTTCAAACTTCCAAGAAACTTTTGGCAAACGACAGCATACAATTTGCAGAACCTATACACCAGTCTCAGATTACCCACTAAGAGTCCTCTGGACACGAAACAGGGTCGCCCCGTTTCTACTGAATCGGTGTCATGCAGCTAACCAGCCATTGGGCCACGTGCCACTCCGAAGTACAACGTTCTCGGGCCCTCTCGGCAGGCCCTCTCGGGGTCGAACGTGAATAACCGAGAACGTACGCGACGCATTAATGGCGGTCAGCAACTGCTGGATTGGATGCTGGCGGCGTTTGCGATCCTGCTGGTGCTGGAATTCCTGCGACAAGAAATGTTACGGTTGCAGTATTTTCCTATAAACCACATTCATGGTCATTCCTGCTATAGCAGAATGAATAGATTGAACAGGAGGAACAGGGTAACCTGCTCACTCTGGGAGCTGGCTGACGTACAGCTGACCCCGGAAGAGCACCGTTGTAGTGCGGCTGAAGACATCATCAGTCTGGTTAGAAGCTACAGGATGATGGAAAGTTACTACAAATTGAGCTTTTTCAACGTTGGAGCCTTTAAAGTATGACAGCAGCTCTATGCGAAGAGTGATGAGACAGGGAAGGTGTACGTCAGGTAACCAGACGTATCTCTGATGGTGGCATTGGCCAGCATGCACCCAGCAACAAGAAATAGGGAAGGATGGCTTGGTATGGCTGTAGGTTTCATACCATATTCCATGTTCTACGGAGTGTCTTTTTCGATTTGGAAAATATCCTTTTAGCACCATGATTTACTTATTCATGATTTACTCCACGCAGCTCAGCTAGGACGTGACATCTTGCTCACAAATCATGCTACTCTAGTTATATATCGAGGATTATAAGCAATGAACAAAGGAAGCCTTTGCGCTGTCATAAATATCCTGTCATGATACCCCAAAATAGATCACGTTTAAGTAACGTTCCTATGGATGCTCACTTACCATATCCCTTGTTACAATAATTGGGTGCGCTATATCCGCGGTTCGCTCCTACACCAAGGAGCCTGTCACGTCCTCCCGGCCGATCCCCTCGGGCTGGCTCCAGGTAGTCGCTCAGCTCCTGGTGTGACTTGTTGCCATCAAGCCGAAGACATGCAGCAGCAAGGTGATAATGAGTCGGTGTGTCCTTAGGGTTCACCGCCTCATTATCTCATTATCTCT